TATATATATATATATATATATATATATATATATATATATATACGCTTCTGTAGAGACAACTAGGCTATCGTGATTCAACTCTTTTAATGGCCAAATTCACCAAAAGTTTCCGTAACTGGACAATACGAGACAATTACTATACGTCTAACCATCAACTAAACCATATTCCAAACGTATCCATCTGCAATTTCCCATTACGGAAAAACAGCCCTTGTCGTGTTATATGACTGTACCCACCTGCATGCTCTTATGTTTTCCCGCGTTCACAGGTCCACGTGCTGCTGAAACGTTGTTGGTGTTTTACCCAAGCACGTAACAATGAACTGATCACATGTCTAAAGAAAAAAAAAATCACCTGACAAATAACTATAAATGTAATTATAAATAAGCTTTTTAGCCAGCAATTTCATCAGTGTGCAGTAAACATGTGTATGCACAGATTAATGTGATTACATTTGAAAGAATGTAAACACACTTTTGTGTTCACTTTATACCCTTAAACATAGAGCTCTCGGTTTCAGAAGTAGGCAAGAAAGGAATTTAGATATGCATGTCCAAGGACATCTATATATTTTTATATTAATTGATATGACATTTTCTTTTAATATATAATTTAGCCCAACTTTTTATCACACAAAATAGGCTACTATTGCACAGCTGTGCAATGTTGATCGAGTAGGATGAATTAGTATGCCTTTAAATAGCTCTGGTCATTGGATCTATTATAATAATCAGGTCAGCCATGATCATTATTATCTTCGTTGTCCATCTAAGTAACCTGCTAGTGGAATGTGTGCAAGGAATAAAACAAGGCATCTGTTATCAAGGCTGCCACATAATATGTAAATTGTTTGCATGTGTGACGTTTACTTCTTTGCTTACTGATACACAAAAGTATGTAAATGTTTGAATTCTCTTAAGTAGCATTTCTACTTCAGCTATTGCATTTATGGCGGCAGTTCATATTACGCTTAAGGCACATTAAGTAAATTAATTTACTACTCACTTTAGCACAACACACTCCCAATGTCAAATTAATTCCAAATAATGAATTCATTTGAAAACTTCTGGTTAAATAATATTTTAAATATACCAACAACCAAACACTATTTAAAAAAAAATACAACACACAACAAATAAAACAAAATGTCTCTTTAATTTGTAAGTGTCAACAGCAGTACAAAAGATGGAGTGATGGTGAGACGATTTTGTCATGTGTGTGCACTCTAACTTTTATGGAAAAAGAGGAACTCTTGAGGTAAATAAGCAAACAGACAGGAACACCCTCATCTGCCGTCGTACATCAGTGAACTGAGAATATACTGTAAAAATGGTGTTACATTACAATATGCCAAATGCTGCTTGTGGGGAGAACAACCTAGATATTTGTACAATCCACTAAGGTGTCTAAATACACCGAAATGTGTCACTCATCTGGTTTATTTTATCTGATATAATAATACTACCATTACAGAGAAGACTGATCTCTGGACATACAACTGTAGCATTAATTAGTTTACCTCACGTCAATACTGCACATGGAAACCAATGACTTGCTGGTTTACATACTAAAGCCAAGCAAAACATTTTTTTAGTACTTTTTTTCTTTCTTTTTTTTTTTTTAAACAATAATATCCTTAGCAAATAGCTGTCTTTTGTACTGTATAAAGAAGAATGTGAACACAAATGTGATGGCAACCTTTTTAAGTTCAATTAAAAACTTTACACTGGACTGTACAAGATATTATGATAAACTATTTACATTTTTAGACTTTATTTTTTTTTTCCTCCAAAAGCAGCAACAGATACTATTCTATATCTCTAACGCCCAAACAATAATACCTGCCATTGGTCTATGTACCTGCTGAGAAACCGGTCTCTACATACACACTCACACACACACAAAGACAAAATTAAAGAAAAGTGTTATCAGGCTGCTAGCGGGATTCGAAACCAGAGTGTACCTAGTGACAGAGGAGCCACACACAGTGTTGCTTGAGAGACTACAGAAATCTAAAAGCAAAGTACCATTGACAACAGCATACGTTGTCCCTGACAGCAACATTTTACTCTTCTGAACAGCAGCTAGCTGTAGTCAGTCCAGCATGTCAGTGAATTGTGCTGATTAAATTAACAAAAACTATCCCACAATATTCATCACAAAAGTCCATACCAAAAAAAAAAAAAAAAAAAAGCATTACAGTAAGATAAGTAGAAACACCCAAGCTTTGTCCTCAGTTATTGTACCTACTTTGCATTAATATGGCAGTGATAATTATAAAAGAAATGTCATTTAGACTTGCTGTTGACTGGATGGGAAATGGTCTATTAAACACTATGAAGCAACACAGAGAAAAATACTGTATGAAAACCTCAAATGCACAGAGTGGGTCTGCATTGTGCAGCATAAAAAAAACCCTCATAAATATTTGCACATCCCCAATGGATTAAATGCTCAGCAAGAAACTCACATGTTTTCAGATGAAGCTGTACTTTATGACACGCCACAACTGATGCCCCACAATTACATGTTCTCTCATTCAAATTTGCCACAAAACCAATTATTATAGAACTTCAGCAAGTACCTCAACATTTAGAAAACAATTTGTAAAATAAAAAAAGAAGAATTTTTTTTTTCCTTTGCTACAGAGTGCACCAACAACAAAGCAAATGGCTGGTTAACTCAGCATGGAGTGCGAGGTTCATCACTTAAACACATGGAAGTGAGATGCCCGGGTGTCTCAGCTGTGTCTCCAATACTACTCAATCAACAGCGATGTGAATTCAGCAACTACATGAGGTACAGTGAATTGTCAGTTTGTGATTTCATTCTTTTTTCCTAAGTACAATGACCAAAAACATACACACACAAAAAAAGAAGGAAAAAAAAGTAAAATACATAATTTATACTTCAGCAAGTATCCATGAACAAAAATAGAATTCTATTTTCCTATGTTATATTTACAATGAAAAGGGGAAAAAAAAATCTGTAATGAGATGGAGATTTATTTTTTAATTTTTTTAAAGAAACTTTGTTTTGAGCTCCGATCCATTTTGAAATTTCACTGTTTTTATTCTTGTTCTCTGATTGTCCTTTTATTCTGTTCTACTGACACTTTTAGAGCCAATAATGGCTAATAAATACAATAAAATGTCTATATGCACTAGAGAGCTTCAAATACAATATACAACACAAACATACATGAGCATTAAAATGTGCTACTGAAGTCCGGTGTGTCTCAGTTGGCCAGAAACTACGCGAGCCTCTCCATCGAGTTTACTGCTCTTTCTCCCCTAGGCAGCACTGGAGCTTAAACAAAGTGTTCATTCATCACGTGTCTTTGCATAAATAAACAAAATATGTCAAGAGAAAAATGACTCAAATCTGGCAACTGTGAGGCACGCTCACATGAATCCAAACAGGTGACTTGTTCATGTAGGTTTTTTTTCTTTCTTTTTTTCCTCGCACAACGGCTTCACATTAGTCAGAATTGATAAAAATACCATTTATATCCAGTGCTTGTAACACTTTTGAATCATTGTCTCCGTGTGAGATTGAAATAGTTTCTTTTTTCTTTTTCTTTTCTTTTTTTTTAATCTATACAAGCGCAATCAAGTTTCAGTCCCAACAACAGTTCTTTTGTCTGCTACCAGCCTACAGAACTGGCTTGGCATGGTCAAGGAAATATGTACAAATCACGTACAAATCAACCAATCCACCAGCAAACAGATATAACAGCTTTAAAAAATAAACGTTGGCTTGTAAGCAGAAAAAAAAAAAAAACTGACCGTGGATGTCAAGGGACACCCAGCCAAGTACTGTACCTTATGTAAAAATCACAACAAACTTAAACAAAACCAACAAAATAAAAGGTACGAATACAAGCTTCTAAAGAAGTGCTCAAAACGTCTACGAATTAAGTAAATGCTGTTTCAAAGAGGGGCGCTGAGGAGAAAAGTCAATGCTTCAACTGCTGGGAGAAGTAAGCGCTAAATAGCCATCGGTACCTTTTAGACCTTTGGAGGTAATGCAGTGACCAGCAGCCTCACTGTGACATTTCCTGTCTATTCTAATCTCTGGGTTACTGATGCAACAGACAGGTTCAAGGGCAAAGGCAAAATAGCGGGAATCATGCATTAATAATGCCGTATTTCAGATGATACCGACTCGTCAGTCATTTTAATAATCCCCCACAGCTTGATCTACTTGTTCCATCTGCTCGCTAGCACCTCGTGGCTGCTTCTGGCCGCAGCCTTTTGCGAGCACTTTGATGGAGAGAGGGCACAATAAACCACATGGGCCTCGTCTCCATTGTTCGCTACCTTTCTCCTGGGCGCGGGCCGATGCCGGGAGCCAGATGGCAGCCCCTTGAGGCAGGGTGTGCGCTGGGCAGAGGTCAGGCGAGTGGAGGTGAATGGCACTCGCACACTGTAGGAGCCTTCGGTAGGGCCAAAGCCTAAAACAAGAGGCCCTGACCGCTGGCTGCTTCTTGGCTGTCCTTCCGCACGGAAACAACCTGAGATCCGTTCTGCTGCCGGAACGAGCGGATAATTTAGTAGAGGCGCAGGACTGCCTATTTGAATTGTCTTTTTTTTTTTTTGTATATCAAGTGCTCAAAAAAATGATTTCAAGAGCAGATTTGTCTCTGTGCATTTTCAAATGTATTTAAATGTAAATACAATCAAAGTATCTCAAATCCAAGTATCCTTTGAAAACTGGGGAAATAAGTGCCATTATTCGTTTAGTTAAATTTCTCCTTAACTCTGCATAACTGGCCAAAACATCTTGATAAACTGGACGTTCTCTTTAAGACTTAACGATGAACACACTGCAGAGGCCCAAAGGCCGTACGCTCTGCTTTAAGACTATTTCCGTCAGTTAAGATTTCAATGTCTACAAGACTTAAGCGTAAATAAAAGACTTTAAACTTGCTGCCCTGGAAAACGGGGATAAAGACTTTAGCAGAATGTGCTTGTACATATTGTACATCAGCAATTTGTGATTGCAATACACCAAAGCTGCCTTTCGCTGCCTGTCCAATTCTGCAGATTGGATGCCATTTGGCCCCTTGGCATTCTGGCCTGATTACAATCACCGTGATTAAGAACCGAGTGGGTAAGACTGAACTAGACGAGGACGGTGGTCAGGGCGATCACTGCATTGAACCTCCTGGAGAACTATGACATTCTTAGTTCCTGAGCATTTGGACGTGGTTGTCAATGGAGAGGAGAAATAAAAGTGGGCTTTGTAGATAAGATTGCAAGGATTGTCTAAGACTCATGCAGTCTCTTCCTT